AATTCGCAAATACTATTGTTGGTTTGATTATGGCAGGTGCTGGAAATGCAACGAGGTGGCCCCCGTCAGATATCATTAGTGCTGGAGCCACCTACCATTATTTTAATTTACAACCACTCAGATTTGTGGCATACAGAATTATATATTGAATCTCCATGATCTTTTTTGTGTCTCTCAACTTTTCTTTTGATTTGTTTACTTTTGCCGTTTTATTTAAGAAAATGCCCATCTTTTGCCGTTTCGACCAGTATAATTTTAAAATATTTTTGCCGCCTCTAGACTTGCTTGTGTTCGTCATGGATTTGATATTAAATTCCTACCAGAACGAAATAAAACCTGATATAAACATTGATTAAAATTTAAAACTGCACTGTAGACAGTATCACCTGAAAATTCTCTCCAGTTTTTAGCTGACAGCAAAAGAATGGAAACCCCGGTATTCTCATCCTCTCCAGAGATCCCTACTACACCTGAACCAATTACACCAGCGCTAGATGACACCACCACTACATCCACTCTAGCTGTGCTTTGCTTCATCCTAGGTGGCGTATCCCTCGCTTTAAACCCATTTGTTATAAGCTTCTACTCCTCTAAGATCAGGACTGTGGTGCCAGCTCTCTACGTCTCTCTGGCTACGAGCGACCTCATCACCGGCATCAGTTCCATCATCTGTGGAATGTACCTGGTTATAAAGCTAGCTGATGTGGGTGATGATTCCAGCAGGGTGAAGCTCATTTGGTCCGTGTTCTTCATCGCCTCCCTCTCAATAAGGGTATCAGCTGTATACACACCTATACTATCTGTAGTCAGAAGTATCAACATAGCAAGACCCTTTGATAGGATACCTTACAAGGGAGTAATGTGCTTGGTGGCTATAGTTCCAGTAGTCTGGACGGTTATTCTCGGATTGGACGTTTGGACGATTGCCAAGAATGCGGACACGGCTCGTAGTTCAAGTGGAGTGGATATTTTACTGGAAGATTCGATGCTGGAAAACTGCTTCTACGTTGCAAGTGGAGGCACCATTTTTATCGAAAATTTCGTATCCGATGGACATTTTTGGTATGCCGTGTCTTTCATGCTGAACCTGCTCCCTTTCCTTTTACCAAGCTTTCTATCAGCGATCTGCATGATCCATCAGATCGTTACACTAGCAACCAACAAAACACCGGGCCCCGCCAGCAATGCTAACGTTAAAAGACAAAACCAGATCACCGTAAGCATCGCCCTCCTAACCACCACTTTCTTCATCTGCAACTCCCTGAGTGTTATCTCCTGTGTTTTCTCTATCCTGTACCAGGGTGGTACACCCTCTCACATGCAACTTCCCAACTTCATTCTCATATACATCCTCCCCTATATCAACAGTGCTGCCAATCCTGCCATCCTCATTTTAAGAGGGGCTGCCTTGAGAACGTGGGTTACGGAGAGCGTTAAAAACAAAGCATTTTCCCGGCTGAACTTGCCTGCGCAGATGTCCATGAAAACCATGTCCAGTACAACTTCTCTGGCTGCAAAGAAGATCAGTTCTTGTTCCACTGCCCAGCCTGCTCGGTCTGGAGGTTGACGATGTTGATGATTTCTAAAGATTTTTTTGAGATGATCATTTCAAGAAGCTGACCATTGTGCCTATCCCGGAGATCTTTGATTATCACGTCGCTGGCTAGAGCTGATGGTTGAAAGATAACTTTAAAGAATACCGAAGACATTGTATCATCTTATTTGGAGACATTTAATAGTTAGAACATTAGTATACATTTGCATTATACATGATCCATTATATCATCTTTTATCATCAGAAAGGATATTAAATGCATTGTTATTGTCTTATATGCTTGTACTGTGTAACTGTAATTGAAAGAGTGTGCCAACCTTGGTCGGTTTTGTCAGAAGTTTTTTCATTCGTCAAGGATATAATGGGTGTGACAATAAAGTGGAAAACAGCTGAATCCTAAAAGATTCGGCAATTCTTTTCACCATCCCTACTCCCTAGTTTCCTTGATAGAAATGCAATACTATTCGCCCATTGTGGAATAAAGATTATCCCTAACCCAGAGACAAATTTTAATTTATCAACGCCGCCCTGTTGTTAAGTCCATTCGTGAGTCGAATAATTCGCATTCCTAACCGCATTGTCGTTATACATCATTTGTTGTGAACACTGAATTGTTATCCTAATATCCATACACTGATTCTTGACAGTAAGAACGGCGTAGGGAGTAAATACCTTGTCTATAGTACCAAATTCTTCTCGACTGTTAGAGCTTTGATCCATTTCTAGTCATTTGCATTTTGTTTGCTGGAAGTAGTTGGTGATATCGACAAATTGGTCGCCAACGAAGCTCATACAATTATTTTTCACACTATCTTTTTCCTATAGGCGCTGGGACCTTTCCCCTGCATTTGATAACCCAAATATAGAAGATTATTCAGTGATCGTCAGAAAAGTTTTGTAAAAATCGAGATGAATACGAGGCTGCGGTTCTTCTTGGGTAAAATGTTGGTTTTGGTAACTTTGATCAGTAGTGTGAAGTCCGACGCCTACAACGGTCGAATTCCGTGCTGGGACAGATTCTGTGTGGATGAACTTACAAAAGCACATATCCCTTGTGACATGGAAAAAAGAAGTTGCGATTTTAACCAGAAACTCAAAAAAAATGAATGTAAATACATTTACAGTTCTCTCATAAAGCCAACACCATCCAAACAGTGTAGGCAAACATTCATGGAGGATTGTAGCTGTGCTCACGTTAATAATGGGGAAGCAACGTGCATCTGCTCTTTATCCGGCTCGGCCAAGAACACTTTTATCGCACTGGCCATTGTGTTTGTCATTGTTGCTTCGCTTGGGTTTTTCATTGCTCGGTGGTATTTTAGAAAGCGTGAGCAGCTCCTTTTGAATATGATGAGGCAAGGAAATCTTAAAGAGTACGGTGAGGTTGAGAAAAAGGATAGTTCTCTAAGTAATCCTTCTGGACTAACTCCTGCTAGCCGGTCCAATTGCAATTCCAAACCTGGCCCTGGTCTTGCACCAGCAGGTCACAATCTAGTGGGTAGAAGCCCGAGACCTAGCACCGCCATAATGAGAAAAGTGACAATAGTCCCTGCTGGTGGGAAGGATCCCTCTAACTGGGACAACATGTACCTTAATACGGGCGGGCTTTACACCCGCAAAGTTAGTCGTGCAGTGCCGCATGCAGCGCCGCATGCAGCGCCGCATGCAGTGCCGCATGCAGTACCTCGTGTAGTGCCTCATTCTGGAGATGTAATGTCACCGGGTGCAAGCCCGGGATTTCGCCGGACGAATAAGCAACCAGCAGTGAGTCCACTGGGAGGTAAGCGGAATGAGAGTGGCACACCAGCTGCTGTTGACCTAGGAGGAAATTCCAATTCAAATTCACTCTCTGTCTCTGGGGACCACATCACGCCAGGTCCATCTCCAGGATTCCGGCGTAAAAAAAAGAGTCCGTTGGGTGTGAAAAAGGAGTCGTTGGAAGGTGCAGCTCCGGATGTTAAAATTCCTGTGTGTGAAGTGAGTGTGGAACAAAAGCCAGGTACTTCAGAAACTGTTATTTAGGAACCAGAACGCCGTACCTTAGGTTCAGGATAACTGAAGGGTAAGTTCCTGAAGGGTTGAACAGTATTCCATGCCCACTGAGCTTCAAGAAAAACTGTAATAATATGTTGTTCTAGACAAATTCAAAAGTTTTTCAAAACAGTGTACAGATTTAATTGTGAATCGCCCATTCACAAGAATCAGGACTCTTTTAACATGTTTATCGCTAGACGCTAACGGACATTTAAATAATTGCGGTCCGGTAACATCTTTATCATCTTAGAGCGAGATTGTTCCTAGTGTTCGACGTTTTTCCACGGCCTTTCGTCAGATTCGTTCGCAAGATGACGATTCCCTTTTTTATATGTCAAAGTTACAAAAATACGATGAAGATGTAACTTTTTTTGGATTTCCACTTCGATTTCGAAGGCTTTTTCACTGAGCATTTCAATGAAATAGCAGTAATAGAACTTAAAGTTGTTATTGATTGGATAACTGTTACAATATTTAATTTGAATGTTTGAAACTATTAGGCACTCTCAAGTTGATCAAATTTATTTTCTTTATAGCTCACATCGATTTTATTTGTAAAGCATTTAATCTACACCGAGTCTGAACGAAGATTAGGGTAATACTAAGGCTACTGCATCAACCTTTGATGAAAATATTGAATTGCAACGATGCACAGAAATAAAGATAAAGCTTTAGATGTCACAATTCCGGTAGGTTTTATAATTCTCCTCACCGAATGATACCCATAGATCTGTATGAATGTGTGGTACACATTACACAACAGGGACAAAAGGAAATCGCGGCATGTACGGAATCGCGATTTTTCCCATTATTTGCGACAAATTTGATGTATAGTTTAATGTATAGTCTGTTAAAATTCGCAGTATCGCGATTTTTTGCCAAGATAATCGCGAAATCCTTTTGTCCCTGGTACACAACCAATTGCCTTGAGTTGACTTTGTACTATCCACTGCCAATTCACTGTCAATACAATCCCATATCCAAAGAAATGTAACACGGGCCGGGGTCGCACTCGGTATTGTACCTTAATACACTGTAGTCATCATACCTTTTTTAATCTAGACAGATATTTCACAAATCTTTGTCTTACGTTGGCTTAACACAGTGTATCTGCAGCATTGTGATAATGAAATTTCACTAAAATTGAAGATTCGGCCAATCTAACGCTCTTTTGATTACTTCTATCAGGTTATCAAAGTGTAGATAAATGATTTCTTCTCTTTTTGTTCAGGTTTAACCTTTTTTGCGATTTATCACTTTGTGGTTTTGTATCAAGGTATTGATTAATGATTAAATCAAATTTCCGTTGTTTTCTTGTTTTATAATGTAGATATCATCTGTGTTGAAAGCTCCCATAATTGTTCTAACACAACATCGCAACCTACACTCCCATTTTGTGTTTCCAGGAACTATGTACACTGACTACCCCAGCACTGACTATCCCAGTGCCATCCAGACTCAATCCACGTCTCTCAACCGAAAATTCATGGCGGCGAAATGGAGGGAACTCAAAATCGCTGTCACTTTCTTCATAGTAGCTGGGGCTGTTATAGGGCTGTCTTTTGTGATCTACTTGACATTTCACTTTTATAAAAAGTATTTCTCTCGACCCAAGGACGAAGTGTTTGATTCAGCTACACTACCTTTTGTGCCGGAACCCTCTGAGACGGCTCCTGATCTTGTAGTATCCACTACAGAACACAGCACTTCTTCAGAGGTTATCACAGCTTACGATCAAAGGGCCCTTACTGTAGTGCTACCCCCTCTAACTTCGTCTATCTATGATGGAAATTTCAATGAAAGAATACGTCAAAGTAACAGCCCCACCCCACCCCCAAGAACACCTCGTCTGGTCGTGAAGAGGGCCTCAGAACCAGATAACGTAGTCAACCGAGTTCTTATCACCTTGGAAAGACCCTCCGAATCTGTAACTGAGCCAGCTACAAGAACTGCCCCTGCTGATTCCCCACCACCAAAACCTTCCCCACTACCAAATCCTAACCCACGAGCAACTTCTATCGGGACCAGATCACCAAAACCTAACCCACGAGCAACGTCTATTGGTAACAGATCGCCAAAACCTAACCCACGAGCAACGTCTATTGGTTCCAGATCACCAAAACCTAACCCACGAGCAACTTCTATCGATACCCGATCACCAAAACCTAACCCACGAGCAACTTCTATCGGTACCCGATCACCAAAACCTAATCCACGAGCAACGTCTATTGGAACCCGATCACCAAAACCTAACCCACGAGCAACTTCTATCGGTACCCGATCACCAAAACCTAACCCACGAGCATCGTCTATTGGTACCCGATCGCCAAAACCTAATCCACGAGCAACTTCTATTGGTAACAGATCACCAAAACCTAACCCACGATCAACGTCTATTGGTTCCAGATCACCAAAACCTAACCCACGAGCAACTTCTATCGGTACCCGATCACCAAAACCTATCCCACGAGCAACTTCTATTGGTTCCAGATCACCAAAACCTAACCCACGAGCAACTTCTATCGGGACCAGATCACCAAAACCTATCCCACGAGCAACTTCTATTGGTAACAGATCGCCAAAACCTAACCCACGAGCAACTCCTATTGGTTTCAGACCACCGACATGTTTCCCACGAACCTCCTCAATAGGTGAAAATCCTCAGGCTAACCTAGAGGCATTTTCTCGAGCCAACTCTATTTCTTAGGTCGTTTTTCACAGATGACGACATACATACACACTACACAGCTCCCTATATTCTGTTTATAATAAAGTATCTGGTCAAAACCTGGCACAACTTAGCGAGTTTAGAAGGTTTGAGATGTTATTTGTGCTCCCTAGGGTCTCTACTTCAAAAAAAATTTGGGTGGATAATTTTTTATGTTTGTTTAAACCCGTGACCACGCCCTTTTTAAAGCGTGGGAAAATTTTCCCAAATTTATTGAAATTTGCCTATAATGTTTGATGGGGGTCTCTAAATGGCTTGATATGATGCCATCAGTATTACTAGAACATAATAAAATAAAATGTGGGTAAATAAAAGTGTAGTGGCACCCTGACCACGCCCATTTACACAATTTTTGGCGGAAAATTCGGAAAATTCGAAGTTGTTTACTCTAGCAGCAGGGAGGTGTTTAGTTTGTATTTAAACTGCTGAATCGAGTTAAATAGGTTATATAAGTAACTTAATTCAATTAATTGGGCATGTTGAGCCATTAGTTCAGCCTTGGGGAACCACGCCCATATTTCATATTAGGCGCGTATGTGAGAAATTTTTATCTCAGCTTCTGAAGGCCGTAGAAACTTAACTTTGGGCTTAAAATTACCGCAATATGTAAGTTTATATTGACACTATTAAGGTGCTGAAGCTCTCCAGGACTTACTTTTGGATAAAAATGAGAAAAACTGATACAATTTACTGAAGCGCATTAACAAACAAAAAACTTCCCTAGCAGCTAGGTTAAGTCAAGTAGGCAAATCAATGTATAAAGTTTTACTCGACACGGTCGAGTAAAATTCGTAAGGTCTTAAGGTCATTCTGGGCTAGAATAATTTGATTTTGGGTGCCCACGTTTATCAGTAGTCCAACCCTGGCCTAGGTAGTAAAATTTCTACATTGCCCTCAGGCGCAAATATAAGATTTTTCTATCCATCTCAGCTCCTGAATATTGTAGGACTTTCAAGATAACCACAACAGCAGAATGGCCATATTGATATTTATATACAAGCTATGAAGCAGTATGGGGTCTATAGTGCATAGTTTTTGAGATATTTGTTTTTAAAACATGATTTTTAAATATATCTTGCGCTTAAAAATACAACAAAGGTTCAACACTACCGCATTTATGTACCAGCACCATCAGCTCATCTTAGAAATCACAAACAACCCGCCGGGCAGCTATCTCTAGTTAAGCTCATTTCAGTACCCGTTGACTATAATATATGCCCACTTTTATGTCAGTACAACCTCATCTAGCAAAGTCCAGCTGAAGCAGGAGGCCGACTTCCAGGTCCCCCCATTATTAGGGGTCCCATGGAGATCAGATCATGTCACTAATCAGTGACGTATAATTAGTGATGTGATCCATCGGTAGAATTTAATTGACCTAGAAATGGGCGAGATACAGGGTAGAGTTCACATGTTAACTCTGTATGTATCATAGCTGTGCATTAAGAAGTAAACATGATCTGATGATCTTTAAGATTTGACCGCTCGACTCGTATATCACATAAGGGAAGGGAGCTCTTACTAAAGCTAAGGGGGGGGGGGGGGGGGGGGGGGGGGGGTCTCGTATCTAGGGATGTCAGACGTACGTGCCAAAGGCATGCAACAGGAGTGAGCCGATCTGATGTCGAGCAAGTATTCTCTGAAATAACGTACTATATACAGACAAACTTGCCTAAGCTAATGTCTAAAGTTGATTATTTCGAGAAGACTTACCTTGGGTCAGTCATTGTGGACAGTGAGGTGAGGCTGCTCCCTGCATATCCCTTAGGAATTATTAAAGAGCAGCAAGTCATTACTGACTTGTTGTAATGACTCAAATCACATGTTCTGTAAATCATAGCTGGTGGATCACATCACTAATTATGCGTCACATCACTAATTATACGTCATATGATCTGACCCATAATAATAGGGGGGCCTGGAAGTCGTGCAGCCGCTGAAGCTACTAACAGTTACCTCCAGCCCTATCCTAATATTACTTTTCCCTCCAATTCTAGCTCTTTCCAGTGACTTCAACTCCATTCTAATTTTTTCAAGTGAATGATTTTGTTTCCATTGTAAAATTTCACCATTTTCACAATTGTTCACCATTGTGACCCCCAGTTCTCTTCCGGTATTGGGATGGCCTGAGATGCTTATATCCTTTTCAGTAACCCTAACCCACTTGCACTCTGTGCCAAGGCACTATACTCGTATCAGTGAAAGCAGTATTAATGACATTCTCACTTTTCAGAACTAAGTGCCTAATATAATTAACATCTAAACAGTTTTATTCCTGTTCCATATGATCGAGGATAGTCAGGGCTACAAAACCTGACCAAGTTTAGCTCAATCCAGTACTGCGCGTTCAAGATATGAGGTTAAATATACCAAAAATAGAGGTTTTCTGGTGTGACATCATTGTAAATTATTTGGAGTATAACCTCAATATCTCACAAACTATACATTTGTGGTCTTTCTGAGTTACACTATCTGTTTCCTTTGGCAATTTCGGTTCAGAGTCAATTAAGTTTGAAACAAAATCTCAGTATATGTGAAAGGACTGAGGCCGAGGATATCAAGTTTGTAAAAGCGCGCGCGCGCACACACACATATAATGACCTCATATCTTCCACATTTAACGATTTTTTATAGAAATTCTTTCACCATCCTGTAGCACTCATGTGCTGAGTAGGATAGCATTCAAATCATGTCTTTAAAAGATTTAGATAGCATAGATACTGAGGGAGAAAATTCATGTTTGTAAAAGCGCGCGCGCGCGCATGGCCCAGACTATATCAATGGACGGCCACGGGAGGATAAAAGTACTTTCATACACACCAGCATGCTCATTGATGGCTTAAAATGAAGCTAAGACATACTCCTATCAGATCCACCATAAGTTAGATACCATAATAATCATTAAATGTGTCTAAAATGAGGAAGCTTTGACAAGTGCGAGTGGTTTTTGCAAATTTTGGTATAAAACGGGCCCTGGGATCATATTTTTCTCATTAAAATCACATAATCACGAATATTTATGTGTGTTGGGTGTATCCTCATTGGTATCAACCATTTCAATCATCTAGAGCAGCTTTCCTGATTCTTTATCTCATGAAAATGGGCAAAAAAGCTCATAAATAGTCCAAAATCGGTCATTTTCGCCGCTTTAATAACCTCATTCCTGGCACCCAGAACACTTTGGGTACTCAAAACATGATTTTTCGGATACCTCAGACCCCTAACTAGCACATGGAGCCAGAAAGAACAGCATGTAGGGACTTCTAAATTTCCATGGTTGAGAACCCAATGTCACACTATTCGTTCATTAATCCTGCTTTCACTGGTATACTAGTTGTAGGGGGTTAGTCCTACGAGCCAGGGAGTGTGAATCTTAGTGATTGGCCGACATTACCCGGTTCCGGTCCGGCAAAATGCGGCAAACCAAAATATCCTGTCTTTTCCGGTCCGGTGGCCAAAACCTTTGACCGGTCAGTTTCTTACCCTCTGCTCTATCCAGCTGCCACTGGAAGCCTACTATTCCAGTTCTTCTGCCAATAACTTCCTGCTCCATCCATTTGTGTTCTTCAAGTAACTTTATCATTTTCCAGCAACGACTGTTGCAATTTACTCTATCCATGTAATAGCATCAACATCCTACAATTAAAGCTCTTTTAAAATGTTCCAAAAATGATTACTTAATATAATGTGAAAGACCTCCAAAAGGTTGCTATAAAATTTAGATTTGTAGGATACTGGTGATAGCTAGCAGGCTAAAAGCTACAATTAGTTGAAGAGGGCAGCAACAGGGTAGAGTTGGAGCCTAGAGATAACTGAAGGTTAGTTGCTAAAACCGGAGGTCAGTGGAAAGAGCTAATATTGGAGGGAAAGGATAATAGCAGAAGATAGCTAGAGCTGCAGTTAGCTAGTGCTGGAGTTTCCTAAATGAGATTGAGGTCGGTCACGGTGGAAAGAGCTAGGATTGGAGGGACAAGTAATAATAGGATAGGGCTGGAGGTAACTGTTAGTAGCTTCAGCTGGACTTTGCTAGATGAGGTTGTACTGACATAAAAGCGGGCATACAGGGTAGGTTGAAAATAGTGTGTAGATTGTAAAAATCGATAATGTTTTATGTATATTATAGTCAACGGGTATATTATAGTCAACGGGTACTGAAATGAGCTTAACTAGAGATAGCTGCCCGGCGGGTTGTTTGTGATTTCTAAGATGAGCTGATGGTGCTGGTACATAAATTCGGTAGCCCAAGATAAATGCGGTAGCCCAAGATACATTTAAAAATCATGTTTTAAAAATAAATATCTCAAAAACTATGCACCCCATACTGCTTCATAGCTTGCATAATGTATATAAATATGGCTATTCTGCTGTTGTGGTTATCTTGAATGTCATACAATATTCAGGAGCTGAGATGGATAGAAAAATCATATATTTACACCTGAGGGCAGTTTAGAAATTTTACCACAGCTAGGACAGGGTTGGACTACTAATAAAAGTGGGCACCCAAAATCGAATTATTCTAGCCCAGAATGACCTTTAGACCTTACGAAGGACACTGTGTCGAGTAAAACTTTATACATTGATGTGCCTACTTGACTTAACCTAGCTGCTAGGGAAGTTTTTTTTGTTAATGCGCTTCAGTAAATTATATCAGTTTTTCTCATTTTTATCCAAAAGTAAGTCCTGGAGAGCTTCAGCACCTTAATGGTGTCAATATAAACTTACATATTGCGGTAATTTTAAGCCCAAAGTTAAGTTTCTACGGCCTTCAGAAGCTGAGATAAAAATTTCTCACATACGCGCCTAATATGAAATATGGGCGTGGTTCCCCAAGGCTGAACTAATGGCTCAACATGCCCAATTAATTGAATTAAGTTACTTATATAACCTATTTAACTCGATTCAGCAGTTTAAATACAAACTAAACACCTCCCTGCTGCTAGAGTAAACAACTTCGAATTTTCCGAATTTTCCGCCAAAAA